TCTTTTTTTTTTTTTTGGTACCAGGGATCGAACGCGGGTCCTTGTGCTTGCGCAGCAGGTTGTGAAACCACTGAGCTAAATCCCCAGCCCATCCCCCTAGTAATTTTCATAATCTTATGGGAGACACACTACAACAAATATTGTCTCAATATGTTATTATAAATCGATTACATTGGTTATCATTGAAGTTTAAATTCTAAACATGTTATTATAAATCGATTACATTGGTTATCATTGACTTTTAAGCACTAAATATGTTACTGTAAAATGTTTACATTGGTTAAGTTCTAAATATGTTATTGTGATATGTCTACATTGGTCATCTTCAAAAGAATAATTTCTGTGGCATAAACAAAACAGTGTTATTAGAAAGATGCTTTTGGTACCAAACTACATTGAAGAACATAATGTTTTATATAACTAATATTTATTACCGCTCCTTTTCTGGTGTACAAAATGTATTCCTGCCCTCTTAACTGTATGGGTCTTCTAACATTGTTTATGGTAATCACCTTTTGATTCAGATATTTGCCCTTCTCTTACGGTCCAGCCACCTATGATAATAGGTACACTTGTAGGCTGATATATTTTCCTTAGATGACATCCTATGAAAAGATAGCTACTCAGGGATTCAACCACAAGAACCACCATCATTGGCAATAACAGTTTAACTATATTTTTATTCCAAAATGCTTAATATCCAGGTAAAATTAAAATAGTTGAGTTCACTACTCCTCTTACAATGCTAATGTGTTATTGATCTTCTCTTCTGGGTGTTCAATAACCAAAGTTTAGAGACCAAAACTGAAGAAGTATCTGGGCTAAGAAAGCAGCCAATATTTTGGCCCTGGCCCTCCAAGGTCAACAACTACAACAAAAAGATCCAGGACATGAGGGAACCTTCTCCAAGATCCTACATCTTTGGTGAGTCATCCAATCTCCTGAGCAGGGAGGTTGCTGAACACCAAAACAGTAATATCCAACAAAATATGCCAAAGGAATGTCACCTGGAGGAAAAAATCTCCCATGCTTTAGAAGAAAGCAACATGGTCAAGCAAGGCCGAGACATCCTGACGGCTGACACTGACAGAGGAGCTAAGAGGCTCTATGCATGGTTCGAAGACAATGCCTGAGGAGACTTTATTGACCTTGTTAGATAGCAAGAGATTGACTTGGTCTTAAACACCCAGTAGAAAAGTATAACTAAAGACAATAGCTATTTGAGTTCAACGAAAGTTTTAAGGTTTTTTAGCCAATATTGTTTTTAAAAAAATTATTTGATTTTTCATCCTTTTACAGCCCCAATTAGTAGAACGTATGCTTATTATAGACAGCTAAGCCAGTCAAACATACTGTAGAGCCTCACAATATATAGGGACAAGCCATTGTTGGATGTGCTCACTTTTCCTAAACACATCCTCACATAAAACAAAAAGAAAGGTGTGTCGGGAGCAATGCTACATAATTTTAGGGGGAAAATCATTTGATTAGGTCTAGTTCTTCCCACCTATAGGCCAGCTATGGCATTCCAAGACATAATTGCATTTTGGCCTGGGGTCACAACGGAGACCTCAGTGATCCCCCCCCCCCACCATGCTGTAATGCTCCAGGACAAGACCACACCTGCAGGAGATGCCAGGGAGGAACCAAATCTTCATCTGCATAGTTCCTCACTGTTCTGAGGTTTCCACTGCCCCCAGTCTTTGTTACACCTTGTTTATCCCAATGTGAAGTACTGAAATCTACATATTCACTTGTTAAATCTGTTTCCCTAGGTACTGAATAAAATGTGCAGCAAGCTAGGGGTTTTTGTCTTTGCTGCCCAGAGCAGCACTGATCAGACCCAAAGCTCAGCTTCTTCTCAGTCTCATTTTTCTACCTTTCCTGTATAGTAAGTTAATTCGCCTTGTGCTGCCGTGGCTCGCAGGAGACTAGGACTTACTGCAGAGGTTCTGGTAACGTCCCCTTCCCCTGTGTTCCCTACAGAGGTACAGGAGGAAGAGCCCAGTCTCTGGCGTGAGGATGTCCACAGTAGGAGTCTACACCAGGACCCACAGAGCTGGCCCACGGGACTCATGGCAAGCAGTGAAGTCCAATCTTGTTCTGTAGGTGGGGGCTGTGACCAAAGGAGACAGGACTTCCTGTGTGGCCTCAGTGGCCTCGACACCCACTGCCCAACACCCACACACCCTGGCAGAGCCCTGGACTCTGGAAGTTGTAGGGCCAATTTGGGACATGGCTCCATGTTTCTGTGCCGCCCCCAGGTCCGAGACACGCAGGTCGACAGATAAGCCTGATGGCCGGTGACATCCGAGCAGAGCACTGTGGTTCGGGGCGCTGAACAAAACGCACCCGCTTAATTCAACTCCTGATTGACCCTCATGGGAAGCCCCGCCCACACAGCGTTGCCGGACTCGCTGAGACCTGCAGGTGCTGTCGTGGGAAATCTGCTTCCTGGCCAACGTGGGCCCTGTCCCCAGCTACCCAACCGCATCACCAGCCATAACTGTCCTCTCCGGCCCCCAACTTTCTGAAGTGCAGAAACCAGGTCATGTGCACTCGTTTATGTCAGCTTGTTTCAGCATGATTTCACTTTCACAGACCTTTATGGAAGTTGTGGCTCAACCACTTCTTTGTTTTGCAGATGAGGGAATCCAAGCCAAAGCCCAGAGCAGGGGAGAAGGAACCTAACCTGCTGATTGTGGAAGAGAGAGGTGTGTCACACACCTATAATCCCAGCACTCTGGAGCCTGAGGCAGGAGGATCAATGTTAAATTTGAGGCCAGCCTGAACTACATAGCAAGAACCTGTCTCAAAGACAAAATGGGGAGGGAGCCTGAGCTTCATGCTTAGAACATCTGTATTTACAGGGGTGTTTGGAAAAGCAGACCTGGCCCTGAGCAGTTCCTAGCCCAGAGACACCTCCAGAACACCCCAGACTGGCTCGTGCAGCTGAGGGTTGAGCTCTTTGAATACTTCCAGTCCTAGCATCTGGTGACAGCAAGTCTGACTCTGGGCCCCAGACAAGGATAAGCGAGACCCACAGTGAAGGAGGGTGAGGCCTCCCTGGGAGTGCAGTGGAACTGCCACAGACCTGTGCACTTCTCCCCCCAGGCATGTCAGTGCTGCCATCTGGCCCCAACTGGCAAGGGTCAGAAGGGCGTCAGGAACCAGACACCCAGGAGCGGGCCAGACAAGACAGCAAGCTGCCGGCAAGGCTGATGACTGTCACCCTGGCTTTAGACTCATGGCACCTGTCTGGTCTACATGCAGCACCAAGGTGGTGTAATTACAAGGCAAGACAAATGAGCCTTTCTCAAGACCCCTCTGTAAGGCCCAACGCTATGGCCTCAGCTTCCTGGGACTGAGTCTGTGCTTTGGTAAAAGGGTGCCCAGGGCATGAGCCCCACGGCAAGTCCAACTCCCTGAGCCTGGTGCAGCCTCTGCTGTCCAGAAGAGAAAGGCCCTTCTCACAGGACTCCTCCTGGGGGGAAAGGGCTGGCCACCAACATGAACCAGAGAGGAGGCCCTGAGTTTGGAAGGAAGGACAATGCCAGGCTTCTTCGTGCAGTGCCCCACGTGTGATACTGGTAAGACTGAGGGGAGACTGATGGCACCAAGGCCATCACTCTCTCAGATAAGGAACATGAGCCCTGAGATGGCTGAAGGGGTCTCCCCAGGCCTTGCCCCAGAGTTCAGGCAGGGTGCCCAGGGGGTCCCTTTCGGGGCAGGTCTGGGGCTCGCCCTGCACCCCCCCTGACATCTTCCAGGGTCCAGTCAATGGACAGTACACATCCCGGAACCCTGAGACTCTGGGAAGGTGGGGGCTCATCTCCTAGCTCAACTGACAGTGAGAGGAAGTAATGGGTGAGACTGCCCTGTGGGGGAAGGCTAGGAGGCCCCAAAGCCACTGTGGGCAGAGAAACCCACCTGGGGAGACCCCCATACTTCCAGGACAGCCACAAGACCTTCCACCAAAGCCCACAGCAGTCTGGACTCAACTCTCCTCACCTTGCAGGAGCTCCTGGTCCCCTTTACAACTCCAAGCAGTACTTGCAAAAATACTAGGAAAGCTCCATAAGAAAAGAGTCTCAAAGTCACAAAGAAGAAAATGCAAATTTCTCTCAGGCCAACACTGCCCCCCCCCCCCCGGTACCAAGGATCGAACTCAGGACCTTGTGCTTGCGAGGCAGGCCACAGCACCACTGAGCTAAATCTCTGGCCCTACTCTGCTGCTTTTCACATAGCCACAAGGAGAATGCACAGTCAGTCCCTGTTCCTTAAGGTCTCTAACCCCATCCTGGACAGGTCTGATCTGTGGTCCTCCTGACTCTGGTACCAGCCGAAGGCCCTTCCAAAAGCTGGCACCCCATACACCTGAAGGGATGCTTTATAAGAGAGGAATGTAGAAAAATCAGTAGTGACAAACTTGGGAAATGAAGGCACCTTGTCACACACATTGTTCCCAAGAGGGCTGCTGCTCCTCATCTGAATAAAAAACAAGTGTCTCCAAAGCCATCTCTGAACAAGGGCACACAGGAAGGGCCCAGAGACAGGGTCCTCAGAGAGCCTGGAGTGGTCAGCAGGCCCCTGGGGTCAGCCCTCCTCCATGTGGCCAGGCCCCTGCAGGGGCTCCTGTGCCCGGGTGTGAGTCTGCATGTGGACAGCCAGGTGGTGGTTTCGGTTAAAGGCCTGGCCACACTGGGAGCACTGGTAGGGCCGATGGCCTGTGTGGATGCGCTTGTGGCGGAAGAATTCCGAGGGCCAGCGGAAGGCCTTGCTGCAGTAGGGGCAGGTGAACCAGTCCTGGTTGTCATCTGTGTGTAGGCGCTGGTGTAGCACCAGGCTCTTGCGGTGCTGGAAGCAGCGCAGGCACTCACTGCAGTGGTACATCTTGGTGCCCGCCGGCTTCTGCCCTGCCAAGGCCCGGGCTGCCAGTGCGCGATGGCCCCTGGGCTCCTCGGGGAGCCAGCAGATAACTGGGCCGGGCACTGCCACCTCACCTGGCTCCAGGGTAGCATGGCTTCCTCCTTCCTCCTGTGCGTGGCTCTGCCGGTGGATTGTCAGGTTGATCTTAAGGCGGAAGCTCTGCCCACAGTCAGGGCAAGGGAAAGCCTGCTCTCGAGGGCGGTGAGGCAGCAGCTGGGGTGGCTCCCCAACAGCGCCGAGTGGCTGGGGCAATGTCTGGCCACAATGCAGTGTGAGGCCTCCAGTCTGATTCCTGGGCCTCTTGGGGATTCCACACTTGGTCTGGCTTGGAGACCCCAGGAAGAGCTCCTCCGGCACTGTCTTATCCTTGGGTAGAGCTTCTGTCTTAATGACGACAGGACTGCCACCTGCAAAGGAATCTGCACTGGCTGAGCTGAAGACACCAGGTGAAAGCAGCGTTAACTGCAAAGCCAGGAGCCCAGGAGGTCAAGGGTCAGACTTGCCAGATGGGCAAGAAGAGGGAGGGAGACTCTGGGCATTGCAGAGGGGCTGGTAGGACCCAAGAATTCCAACAATAGTTATGATTTGTAAAGGACAAAGAGCCTGTGTGCCCTGACTGCTGCCAGGTGACATCAGCGACCCCAGCAGCCTGGAGGACACCATGACCCATTGTTGCGGCTGTGTCTAGACGTCCCCCCAAAGCTTCATGCGGTCCTAGGTTGGGCTTTTTCAGAGGTGGCTGGATGTAGAGGGTGTGATGCTGGATTGATTTATGGTGCAATACTAGGCTCAAGGACACCAGGATTAAGGGTATGAGTGCTACCCACCCTAAGTGGCCTAGATAGGATATAAGGGATAGAGAGAGCTATGTTGGCCCTTACCACTTTGCTACTTTCTGCCCACCATGACAGTGTTCTCTGCAATGCCTGTCCGCCTTGGAGCCAGCTGACTATGGTCTGAAACTTCCACAAACTGTGAGCTAAATAAACTTTTTCCCTTTAACTTTGGGTGTCAGGTATTTTGTCTCAGCAATGAGAAAAGTAAGTAAGACACCCACACTGGAAGTCATTCTACCATCTAGCAATTCCAGAGTGCCCTCTACCTGCCCACACTGCGCCCTGGGGACCATGGCCTGTGACTCTCACTGGGGCTCAGTGTGGGCCTCCTCTGACTTGGGTGGGACTGAGGCAAGGAGCTTCCAGGACAGGATTGTGAAAAGCAGAAACTGAGGCAGGGATAGTGGTCACATGATGTCTCAGCAGACCAAGGAGGCAAGGGTCCTGGCACCCATCAGCAAGCCACACAAAGGGACCTTGGTTTAAATCACAAGCCAATGCATGCAAAGTTTGAGAGATACTAGAAGTTTGAGCCTGGGCCACCTCACCGGCTGCTGTAAGGCAGGAACCAGACTGAGGGAACAGCCTTTCTGTTATTTGAGGCAAGGGTCCTGGCACCCATCAGCAAGCCACACAAAGGGACCTTGGTTTAAATCACAAGCCAATGCATGCAAAGTTTGAGAGATACTAGAAGTTTGAGCCTGGGCCACCTCACCGGCTGCTGTAAGGCAGGAACCAGACTGAGGGAACAGCCTTTCTGTTATTTAAGGCTACGCCTGGCGCACGTGACGTGTCTTTAAGCAGGCCCTTTCCAACAAGGCTAGACAGCTCTGTGGACGCCCAGGCCCCAGACTGACCTCGTCCTCACGGCCCTCTGGGCACAGCTGGACAGAGAAGGAGCCCTCCAGAGGACGCATCTCAGCAGGTCCCTGAGCTCTCTCTGGGCTCTGCTGCAGCCACAGGCACCCCTCCTGTCACTCACCTGGCCCCACACCAGACAGGATGTCCCTGTGAGGAGAGGCTGGTGGCTTCCCCTCTGCTCTCTCCGGTTTAACTGAAGGCCAAACCCGGTGGCTTGCTGGAGGGCCTGTGAGAGAGACACGGTGAGGCCTGCCCCGACCCAGTCCTGCTGGGTGGCTTGGCCACCTCCCCAGCAGGCCCCACCCCTGCCCAAGGACCCACCAGGAAAAGGAGCCCTGGGTTCCAGCCTGGAGGGCCTCAATGGCCACAGCCAAACCCACGAGGGCCCAGGCCCACTACTCATTGCTCTGACCTCACTGACACCCCGACGGCCTCAGAAGGGCAGAGGCCCAGGTCTGCCCGGCAGGGACACTGTCCTGAACCTCACACACAGAGCCCATGCTGAGACCCAGGCCGGCAGGGAGGGAAGCCCAGGGAGGGGGGAAGCTGCGCGTTCCTTGTGCAGTGGGAGAAATGGGCCTGGATGTCAGGCTAGCAGTCCAGCAGGAAGGACGGGGCCGGCCCGCCCAGCCAGTGCACGCTGACACAGCAGGGGCTCCATCTAGATGGCTTCCTGCACAGATGTCTGCACTGTAGGCCCCTTCTGGGGAGCCCGCCCAGCTGCACACCAGCCACCTCTCCTGTTCCCGAGCTTCCAGCACCCAGCCCTGCTGCGCTGCTCACTCACCAGTGCCTGGCCCGGCAGGGGTCACCCCTGCTTCCTCCGCCTGCTGCTGCACAGGGCCCAGCCCTCCTCTCGCCTCCTCCTGGGTGGGGCTGGCAACCCGCTCTGGACATGGATCGCAATCTAGAAAAAGCAGATCAGTGACACTCCCTCACTGGTGTCCCTGCCAGGTGGCCTGGGGCTCTTCGGCTAAATGTAAGTTCATGAGGGTCCAGGGACACTGAATCCCAAACAGGGCTTGATGACAAGGTGGCTTCACCACTGTTTAGCAGCTGGATTCTACCCACCCTCTCCTCGTCCAGGAGGACTCTGCACAGATTCACGAGGACCAGATAGGGCTCAGCAAGGTCCACACCACTCTTCACAGCGTCACAGGGCCCAGTGGCATGGCAGAAAATCCATACTGCTGTTGTGGCCTATGGTGTTCAGATGTCTCCAAAGATAAAGCATTGTATTTTGAGCCAATTCTTCACTGTATACGTGTCCTGCTCACACCCAAGTGCACACAAATGCACGTTCAGGGCCAGTGTGACCCTAACAACCTGTTTGTCACTGAGGTTTACAGTGACGACCCAGAATGAGCACACGAGCCCCTCCCACAAGAAACAAAGCTATTTTGTTTTGTTGTCTTTCTGGGGTTTTTTTTGTTTTGTTTTTTTGGTACCGGGGATCTAACTCAGGACCTTGTGCTTGTGAGGCAGGCATGGTGCCATTGAGCTAAATCCCCAGCCCTGGTTTGTTGTCTTAAGGAAAAAACCTAAGGAGAGAAAGAACCATCCTATGAGCAAAAAGTCAATGATGAAGGGTCAGATGACGGACGAAGTCCACTCTGTCCATGGACCAACTGTGGTTTCACGTCGCAGGGCCACGTGCTGAGAGCAGTCTGCAACCAGACACCTAGCCTGCGCCGTGGGACAGGACAGCCAGATCACCAGAGAAATCTCTCCCTCCACATCTGAGTCTGAATTAGGTTGGCTCTGGCTGAACTTCGGGGTCCACAGAGCAAGGACGTGTCAGCCCCACAGCAGCCCTAGCAGGCCTGTTGCTCCAGCTGGTGACACCTGCTACAGTGTTATCAGAGAGGAAGAACAATCGGACTGGGTCTGTACCTGGTGCTGCTGCTGGCAAGTCCCCTTTTTGAGCACGGGTGCACCTTGGGGTGCACTGTTCGGCACATACTGCCAACAGACCTGTCACTAGCTCCCCTAAATGTTACCTCCATGCTAAGGCTAAGGACGGCTGCTTCAGCAGCAGACCCTAAAACTTAGTCATCCTCTTCTGAGTCTTATCTCTGCACCCTTCTTAGATCAAAGAGAGACACAGTATTCATCCTCCCAACTCATACGCCGTATCCAAGACAGTGAACCTCAAAACTGAAACACAAGGCACAGATAGAAAAAGAGACTTCCATCAAAACAGCAGATCCTGCACTGGGGATTTAGCTCAATGGTGCTATGACTGCTTCGCAAGCGAAAGGTCCTGAGTTCAATCCCTGATACCAAAAACAAAAAAGCCCACCAGATACTGACCACTCAAGAGGCAAGGGTTAGCTGGGCACAGTCGCACACACCTGTAATCCCTGTACTCTGAGAGGCTGAGGCAGGATATTCCCAAGTTTGATCTCAGCCTGGGCAACTTAGAAGGACCCTGTCTCAAAATAAAAACATGCTATGGATGTCAGGAGAGCAGAGCACATGGCGGTCCCTGGAAGTCAGGGCACTCAGAGAGGGCGGGGAAGCTCCATGCCCCCTCACCTCACCCTACCAGCTCTTCTATGTCCTTAAATAAAAGCAGATGTACAGCATGTGCTCAGAGAACAAGACAAAGTTCCAGACCTCATGGAGTCAACAGTTCAATCAGACCGACTCTAACATTCTAACAGAAAGACAAATAAGACTTGAAGGAACCCAGAAATGGTTGATACTGATAAAAAAAAAAAAAAAGAAAAAGATGTATTTTCAGAGAAGACCTGGAAGTGATACAAAAATTCTAACATGAGCTGAGCGTGATGGTGCATGCCTGTAAGCCCAGTACTCAGGAGGTTGAGGCAGGAGGATCGCTGAGTTTGAGGCCACCTGGGCTACATAGTGAGTTCAAGGGCAGCCTGAACTGCATAGTGAGACCCTGTCTCAAAAAACAACAACAAAATTCTAACATATTGTGCTCTTTAAATGCTATTCCAGACTCAAAGGAATCAAAACTCCATGGAGGGGCAACTAGGGGTGCAGCTCAGCCAGAGAGTACATGCTAAGCATTACAAGGCCCCACAGCAAAAAACAGATCTATTGGAAAAAGTTTTTAGTGTTGGTACTGGGGATGGATCCCAGGGCCTTTCTCATTCTGGGCAAGCACTCTAGCACTGCGCTGCACCCCTAAACCTTTTAATTTTTATAATTTTATTTTCAGAGAAGTCTCACTAAATAGGCTAGGCTGGCCTCAAACTTACAATCCTCCTGCCTCAGCTTTCCAAGTAGCTTGGAACATAGGTATATACTACCGCCACCATGCCCAGCTCCATGGAGAAATTTTGCTGCCTGATCTGGGGCAGAAAATACACAAGATGAATCTGGCACTTCTTACGGTATCAGAAAACACCAGTGACCTACAGAAAAACCTGGAGAGGTTAATTTAAGATGGTTACTTTAAGTCTGAAAACAACAGCAGCAAAGGACTGGTACATATAGAGCATTACAAACCCTGTGCAGTCATAATAACACTAAAGAAGAAGAGGAGAGGCAGGCGGAGGGAGGGAGGGAGGGCAGAGTCCTCCGTCACCTTTGGAGGCTTATAAACACCAGACTCTTCATTCTGAAACTGAAGAAGGCAAGAACTGGACACCCATCTGCCTTTTCTGTATTGCAATTCAGGATAACTAAAAGGGCTGACCAGGGAAACTTCTTTATAAAAGATTCCAGACACCAAGTGCAGAAGTAACGGCGGAATCTCACCATTTTGCTACCATTGATGAAATCACAAATTCACCACCGCTCTTGGTGGCTAATTAATCTCACTAGGCAACAAGTGACAAGGAACTTTGTGACTCGGGGATGGCACTGACAGTCATAAAACGACAACCACACCTCTTGTGCCCACAGGGGCACACAGCACAGCTGCTGAAGTATCTTGCCCAAAACAATGACCCTCAATGTACACAGCCTCTAGATCTACCTTCCAGCTGGGAGGAAATACAGAAAATAAGAGTATGTTAAATGTATCACATGGGAAATAAAAGCTTTAAACAGATGTAAGATAAACGCTATTAAATATAAATAAATACATGGCACTGGGGAGTGTTGGTCAACTGATGACTGGATAAACCAAGTACAGTATAGCTACAAAATGGAATACTATTCAGCCATGAAAAGAAATGAGATAGTCACACAAACTACAACATGGACACACACTGAAAAATGCTGACTGAAAGAAGGCAGGCACAAAAGGCCCCATATTATAGGATTCTGTTTCTATGAAATGTCAGAACAGGCAAATCCTCAGAAGTAGAAAGCAGATGAGTAGTTGCCAGGCCAGGGGTGGGAATAGGTGGGAACACAGTGTGACTCCTCAGGGTACTGCAGTTTCTTCTGATGGACATGAGGGGCCTATGATGAGATGATGACAAAGGCTGCACAATTCTGAGACTATACCAAAGCCACTGTGCACTTCAGTGGGTGAACTCATGGCATGTAAATCATGTACCGGGTGAACTTCTGTGGGTCTGGTCATTGTACTGTGGTTCCACTTAGAAAAAGGAAAAAGATGGAGGTGGTAAAGGTGAAAACTCGGGGTCCTCGTTGTCTTGGTGATGATCGTTTGGAGGTTCATTGTCCTAGTCTACTTTATTTTTAAAATCTCATTTTAACAAGTCCCCCAGGACGCTGACCCATGCCCTCTATGGAGCCTGTGCTCCCCGCCCACCCCATGCAAGGAGCAGGCCCCAGCTGTGCCCTGGGCTTGGCCGGGGACACAGGCGCAATAGCAGGAGGCCAAGCTGGGGGCAGTGTGGGACAGGTGATCCTGCTACCGCGCGGGTGCCAGGAGGTGGCGAGGACACAGCTGCGCCGTTACCATAATAGCAAT